GAGAGACATCTTAAAAAACTGCATCCGGATCATAACATCCAGTACCGGTGCAGTGCCTGTAATAACATCTACTCAACAGACATGAAAGCGGCCAACCATACAAGCAGAGCCCATCCTACGCTGTCACTACAGACGATTATGCAGGACACACCAGAACTGGCAACAGTGCAGTGTTCGCATTGCCCCCCGAAGGTTTCTAGATTTCAGGTGCCTTCCCAACCACGAGAGGGCAACTCACCCTCGCCTCTTGAGGAAGAAGGTTTCAGATCTCCCTTCTCCCAAGCCGAACAAGGCCCAAGGGACACCATCTACTAGAGCAAACCCTTGGAGCACCATGCTCCAAACACCTGTTACTACCACTACAGCACCTCTACCTGTGCTCCCGACACCAGAGACAGAGGAAGGACCCTTAGCCGTCCAAGCCTCACCACCCCCAACATCTACTCCTTCCCAGGATCAAAGCATCCAGAACAGGGAAGATCCAACTGAGGACTCGGAAGGGAAATTCTCGAAATCCTGGATTCCACGCTTCACTGAAATCCAGGATGACTGGGAAAGTTTCACCTCCCTTTACCAACAATTCACCAAGGAAACCCGGAAGGCAGCACTTCAAGAGATGAAGAAACAGAACAACACCATCTCCTTGAACTTCCCCAGGAAAGCTTCCAATCAAGCCCACGAAACACCGGCAGGAAACACGGAAGAGGGACAGCAGATGACGCCAAGCCTGCCCGACGTCGAGAAACAACAGGTCCCTCAGGTAACAACCCGAACCAACACCACAGGCCCTCCAACTAGGAATCACCAGGCTGGACAGACGAGTACCAACTCCACCTACGACGCTAAAGAGGCCTCCAGAATTCAAAAGCTCTATAGGTGGAGCAAGAAAAGAGCAATCAAGAGAATCCTAGAGCCAAATGCTCAAAGATTCTCAGGTGGTATTGACCAATGTGAGTCGTTTTTCAGAGAACTCACAAAGACCAAGGATTTGGATAGTGAAGCAGTAGATGCCCCAATCCAGGACACCCTTCCCCATATCGCCGATGCAGGAAACCTCGATGAGAAGATCAAGCCCGAAGAGGTTGCCGCGAGGCTGAAGAGAGCAGCAAACACTGCCCCTGGAGCTGACAAGCTTGAGTATAATCACCTCAAGGCTGTCGACCCAAGTGGCAAGCTACTCGCTCTCATCATGAACACCTGCCTGAAACACCAGCGCATCCTGCATCAGTGGAAGGAATCCCACACCGTCCTCATTCACAAGAAAGGCGACACATCAGAAGCAGGGAATTTTCGACCTATTGCCCTGCTGCCCACCATCTACAAGCTCTTCTCTGGCATTATTGCCGGAAGACTGATGGACTGGGCCCGCCGGAACAACGTCCTTTCCCATGAACAGAAAGGCTTCATCCCAAACACCGAGGGAAGCATGGAGCAGACCTTCCTGTTAGAGACTGCGAACTCCGAAGGTCGAAGGAGGAAGCTGAACCTAGCGATAGCCTGACTCGACCTCCAGAACGCCTTCGGAAGTATCCCCCACGAGGTACTAAGGAAGACCTGGCTACGACTCGGAGTTCCTCCTATCCTCCTCGGAGCCTTCACGACATATACAGCGGGTCTTCATCCACTTACCAAACGAACGAAGGCCCAACAGGGAAGATCCCGATGGAAGCAGGGGTTAGGCAGGGGGATCCACTCTCGGCAATCCTCTTCAACATCGTCATGGAGATACTGATACAGAAGATAAACTCGACGGAATCTGCACTCCCTCTTTACGGCACAGAGCTGGCGGTAGGGGCATTTACCGATGACTTCGTCCTGGTCAGCCCCTCAGGGGATGGCCTGCAACACCTCTTAGGAACTGCCCTCGAAACAGCCTCTACCATAGGTCTGCAGTTCCGCCCGGACAAGTGCATGACCCTGTACTACGCCGCAGGAGATGGATGGCAAGCTATTCCCACAACTGGGACCCGACCAATACTACACCTACCTAGGAACACCACAAGGCTTCAGGTACCCGAGAGAGGAGCTCGAGAAATCAGTGACAGCAGTGACCAATGATCTGAAGAGGATCGATGAGTGTCTACTAGCACCCTGGCAAAAACTGGATGCCTTCAAAACGGCTATCCAGCCAAGGCTCTATTACATAATGAGACCCTCATACAGTCAAAAGAAAACAATACGACCCCTCATCTCTGCAATGACGGAGTTCGCTAAGAAGAGCTGCCAACTTTCTAAATGGGCCACCAACCACTTTCTGCATGCAGAGAGGACGGCGGGAGGACTGGAACTCATCGATCTCCACGAGGATAGCGACATTCTTACCATCACCCAAGCTGTGAAAATCCTGAGTTGGGACGATGAGAGGGTCGCCAGGGTTGCTAGAGGGCAACTGCAATCCATCTTGACCTGAGTGATTCGCCGCCCCGATCCAACAGAAGAGGAGGAAGAGCAGAACCTCTCAGGACTGCCAATGGCCGGAACATCAGACACGGAAGACATTAGGACCTTGTGGGCAAGATGCAAAGCTGCAGCTCAACGGCTGAAGGTCCTCGTTAAGTTCACCGAGGAGGAGAGTAAGCTAGTGGCTACTCTCCACATGGTCAAGGGCGGGACGAACTTGGTCGCCAACCTATCATCCGTTACGTGACTGCTAAGACAGAGTGGTGGGGAAACATACAGAAGAATTGACCAAGTGCCCCGATCAAGGAATAGTCGCCAGAGAACTCCAGAACGACCGGAAAAACAACATCTCACACTGGCTGCAGACATGAGTGGGAATTCGCTTCTGCGACTGGCGATTCATCCATAAGGCCAGATTGAACCTCTGCCTCACGCGCCACAGAGCGACGAAGTGGAAAGGAGGCAATGGAAACTGTAGGAGATGCGGATCCAACTTAGAAACCCTTCCACATATTCCACATGGACGTTTGAATCACGAAGCCAGAAGTTTCTTTCGGCCGGCGCCTTTGGAGGCAGAAACCCTGAGAGAGAAGATACTGTCCCTGGGCAGGATGCTGCCAGCCGGGACGGGACGGGACTCTCCAACATGTGCAGCCTCAGAGCTACCACGCGCGGTGGGTGGAGAGATGATCGCGAGAAAGGACGTTCGGAGCTGACATCTAGCGTGAGGACGGGAGGGGTGGAAGTAAAGGCGCCGTGAAGGAGATGCCGTGACTGTCCCAGCTCCCTTGACGGTGGTCAGTTCATAAAGGAGGCCAAGTCTCAAGCCCTGCAGGAGATGAAGAAGCAGAACTCGACGGTCTCCATGAACTTCCCAACCGGTAGGCAGACCAAGAACAGCTCCCCCTCAACCGACGTGGACCCAAGACGACGTACCCAGATGACTTCTGTCCACAGCACCATCGACCTGCAACGGATCAGGAGCAAGAAATAACGAACCCAGTATCAACAAGGGAAGATCAACTATGCTGCCCGTGAGGCATCCAGAATGCAAAAACTCAACAGATGGAGTTAAAGAAGAGCCATCAGGACGGTCCTCGAACCCAACTCCCCCAGGTATACTCGTAGTGCTAGCCAATGTGAGGCATTTTTTTTTTTTACAGATCTCACAAAGGCAAAAACACTGGATCATGAATGAGTGGAAGGGCTGACATGAGACATGCTCCCTCACATTCCCAGTGCAAGGAACCTCGAAAAACCCATCACCCCAGAGGAAGTCAGCGCAAGACTCAGGAGAGCCATCAATACCGCTCCGGGATCCGACAAAATTGAATACATCCACTTGAAATACATCGATCCATCAGGTAAGCTACTCGCCTGCATAATGAATATCTGCCTTCAACATCTGCGAGTCCCACCACAGTGGAAAGGATTCCATACAGTGCTTATCCACAAGAAAGGAGATGCCAGTGACCCTGGCAACTTCCGGCCTATCGCCTTCCTCCCCACCATCTACAAGCTCTTCTCAGGCATAATTTCCGTAAGGCTGACTGGATGGGCAATACAGAACAACATCCTCTCTCCAGAACAGAAGGGCTTCATTCCCAACACAGAAGGCTGCATGGAGCAAACCTTTCTCCTGGAAACTGCCATTGCTGAGGCCAGGAGGAGAAAACTCAATCTGGCAATAACCTGGCTGGACCTCCAAAATGCCTTTGGCAGCCTACCACACCAAGTACTACAATCAACCTGGCACCACCTCGGACTACCACCGGTACTTCTAGGAATCCTCCACGATCTGTATGACGGATCCAACTCAACATATCAGACGTGCGACGGACCTACAGAGAAGATTCCAATTGAGGCGGGCGTCAAGCAAGGGGATCCGCTATCGGCCATCCTCTTCAACATCGTCATGGAGATCCTCATCCGCAAAGTCAAGACAACGTCGGAATCCGCACTTCCTCTCTACGACGCTGAGCTGTCTATAGGGGCATTTGCAGATGATCTTGTTCTGATCAGCTCCTCCAGGGACGGCCTTCAACACCTGCTTGACACAGCAAGCGAAGTTGCAACCACCATAGGTCTGCACTTCAGGCCGGACAAGTGCATGTCCCTATACTTTTCAGCAGGACAGCCAGGCTCATCTAATTTTTTCATGGATGGCCTGCTGCTCCCCCACTTCCTGCTCCCCCAAGGAAAGAAACGGTTCGCCAAGGATTTGGATCGCACACGAGAAGAGGTCAGTAAGACCTCAGTATGGAAACCTGATTCAATTCCTCGTAGACTATGATTTCAATGAAGTGGAGGATTCTTCAATGAGCGCTCCATTGAGCGCTGGAGCGCTCAATGGCGAGTATCTTTCTAATACTCTTTGGCTTGAAAAGGAAAGGAATTGGACAGGTCTCCTTATTGAATATGAAAGCGCAAATTTCGCCAGTTTGATGGAGAAAAAGAGTCATGGCTAGCACATTCCTGTCTGAGTCCTGTGCCATATCCCCAAATGGTGAGTCTTGAAAAGGACAAATTCTTCTCTTAATATTGTGTCTCTGTTTGTTTTTCTAAGTATCTTCAATGTCTTGCACATCAAGATGTCTATAATCGGAGAAGATGCCTTTGGAAAAATGATACCCGACCAACGGGGATTCAATTATGCACAGCTTCTGTTTCCCGTTGGAGTCCTTCCTTAGAGCCGTCGGCCAATCAAAGGTAGATTATTTTAGTTTGGACATCGGGGGACTGGATTACAGTGTCCTCAGCATCATCCCCTGGGACATTCTAGACATCCAGGTAAGGAAATCGACACATATTACGAAAATGTTGCATTTTCCTCACTTCGTGCAATTCATGACGATGATCCCTCTTTCTTCTTCGGACGAAGGTCCTGATGGTGAAAACCAACAAGGGAACGAGGAATGAGATCTTGAAGCTAATGGCTGATAGTAAATATCAACATGTGGAGAAGATAGGTGTTGACATTTTTGAGAAACCCCATAAATTATATCATTCTTTGTACTTTGTGATCCTATTTCAATTCAGGCCCGTTGGCCCCTCAGTTTCAATATTTGTTTGCTCTTTTGTTAATTTTTATATAATGTTTCATGGATACACAAATATATCCCTTAGTTTTATGTTCGTATCGAGTCATTCTTTTTGTGTAGAAATCGTTATGTAATTTCACTATTTTTCAGCGATTTCCAACATTAAACCTAAATAAGCATGAAATGAGACGCTTTTTAGACGGAGGAACTTATCCTCAAAATTCAGGGCAGTGGGATTTAGAAGTTGAAACCTGGAGAATGCTCTCAGCGGAAAGGAACTTGAACTCTCGGAAGAGATAGGCAAGCAGTAAGATATAAACGACCAAGCATTGACGAAAAGGAAATGCACCAGGTGAGGAAGTGCCTCAGACACTACTGAACAAGAATCGATTCGAGTTGAGCCAGGCGTGAGGAGATCTCCATTTCCACCCGGCAGGCGGTCAGCTTGCGCGAATGGCAGAAGGGCAAGTGAGCCGCTCTGATTCGCCGCAAGTAAGACTCCTCAATCAGGTATTGCAGCTTTAAAAAAAAAAACTATTCTCTGGGCATGATAAATTAAGTTTTCTATATCGCTCTTACTTCCAATCATTTTCGCAGGAGACTTCGAAACCATTTCTCTCAATTAGAAAGCGCACGGGTAACGATCCATATACGTCCCCCTTTACTGTCATCTTTGAAATCCTCCAGCTGCGGCGGTTCGTTGGGAAAAATGTTGCGTGCTCTGAAATCTGCCTTACAAAAGTTATCCAATGTTTTGTTTAGCTCCCGATGGAAGAAAAATGTTATATTCTTCGGGTGACTGTTTCAAGGCCATAGAGAAGATTCACATTTTTTTCCTTAGAACGCTCAAAGATAAATAAGCAAAGGCGGATGTCTTTACACATTGACACCCAGATGTATGAAGTGCGCCCAATCCCTGCAGCCCAGCCATTTTTCACAAATTACCACAATTAAAAAAAAATTATATTTCTGAAACTTAACTATGATACATACATGGAAAATTCAAACACTAATTTGTTCAGAAATGTCTAGAGAACCAACTAATACTGATTTTTGGTGTGGGATGCCTGAAAACAATCTCCTTTGCGGAGTGGTACCTAGTTTCAATGAGTTTCTTGTTCTTCAAACACACTTTGCACCTTCTTGCTAGAAACTTACTTTTTTTTTGGTGTCGGTGGGATTGGCACTAATGAATGCTCTTTGATACTGTTTGACAGTCTGGACAAAGGATGATGGAGCTCTGTGGTACTTAGAACAGGAAAATACCTACTATGGTCATGCTACTGGTTGTTTGTATCGGTAATTTAAAAATTTGTTAAGTGAGCTGCTTCAAAACGTAATGTAACGGTTCCCGGCGTCAATGTGTTAATAGAGGAGGTGATTAAGGTTGAGAGAAGTTCGGGAAGCACATATTGATTCAAGGCGATGGGCTACGAATACTCAAACGGCATTTGAACCTATTGTGGGAATATCATAGGCTTTTAGGCTAAGAAGCTTTATATAGCGGCGATACTTATTGCACAATCAATACAAGAAATAAATTAGAAACACCTACGAAACTGGACTCGAAAAATAGAGGAAGCGATCACATTAGAAACCCTGAAAGACGAACTAGTTACTCAAACGGCCGGAGGGAAGATGATGGGGCTTATAGGTCGTGCACTCTCACTGGGCTTGCGTGTGAATCCCTCAACAGTGAATGTATCGCCCCGAGTGTATAAGACGTGCTTTCTTCAACGCCATGAGGTGGAAGACGGATATTGTCCAATGTCTCGACAAGGACAAGGCCAATGTCTCGACGAGGACAAGGCCACTCTACTAACCTCTTCCCCACTCTTCTCTTCCCCACTCTGGCATTTTGGTTTTGTAGACGCCTTCCAGGAGACCCGGCACGGTTGGGAAGAGACATTCGAATCGAAATTCCAGTCGATGACTTTTCCTCTTGAAAAACATTAATCGAAAGGCAAAAAATTGACAGATGTGTATCCTTTACATTCACTGATTTCTCTGAGTGTACGAAATGGCCTATCGCCCCACTCCAAGTTGATTCAACATTCCCAACTCGCGAATAGAAGTCCCTTATTTGGTAGGCAAAATCGCTTCTTTGGGTCCTACCCAACTCTTCAAGGAATGCTTCGTAATCTGACTCGTTGTTCGATCCGTATAGTCCTGAATGCCAGACCGGACCCTGATTCGCTCGAATGTCGGGTAGTCTATATGAGAGCGTCTCGCTCATCAATTCGATTTCGCTGTCAGCCAACAAAGAGTTAATATCCCCATTCCAACCTGGGCAAGTATAGTTGAGCACACCCTGTTCGGGTAGGGGGTTCATCCGTGACCTAGGGCAGCGGTGCGCAAACTTTTCAGGTCGCGCCCCCTTTTCCTCTATGAATTCGATCGCGCTCCCTATTCCCCCTCCCCCCTACACCGTTTCCGTTTCATCAGAAACTGACTGTAATTTCGGGTGAGTTGATATGAGGGAGGAAAAACGAATGAATGCTTTTAGTAGCATAACGTTAACTTTATTAAACTCACTGATTTTGAGAATCCCACAATTCCACAAAAAAGCCTCATCCTTTCCCTGCCCGGACGGATTGTATTGTACTATACTCGTTTCAATCCAATGGAACATTTCCCCCTTAAAAAATGTTGCCGATGCATCGCGATGGCTGGAAAAACGATCGCAGCCTTCTACTATCGATAGCGGTACCGATACATTGACTTATCGTGGAAGCCCTACTTCATAGTTAAAATAAAACAACAGTCCTGCACAGTTTCTCTTAATTAACTTATATTTATATTATATTAAACAGCAAAAGATGAGAAAGTGTTAGATTTTCCTTGAAACTTCCTAGATTTGCAGTGTCTTTCTTCACTTTTTCCCTTTCTATTTAATTTTTAATCCTAAAAATCCCTAATTCCAGGAATAAGGTAAAGGCCAAAGTTTGTGCCCTCAACAGTACCCTTCGCACCCCCCAGTTTGTGCACCGCTGATCTAGGGCAATGGAACCCTTGTCCTTCTTCACGGTCGAACCGATGCTACCTGCAACTAGATGTTATGATCTTCCTTCAAAGTGTTTTGAGTCCCCACCTTAAGTGTCAGCACGTTCCAAGTCCAAATAGTTCAAGTTCCTCGCCCGTTTATCCTTGGTTCCGCTCCTAATCTACCCTTTGGACATTATGCCAAAAATTCAATGTTACTTGTGACGGATGGTGGAGAGCTCGACAAGTCTGGATTCACGGCCAGGCTTACTAACTACCAAGTATGGGATTGCCCGATTCCAGTTGACCTTTTTGCCTGTCCATGAAAGCATCCAGTTTCTTCTTAAAGACAGTCACAGAAGGGGCAGCCGTCATTAACGCATTCCACGCGTTCACCACTCTGCAAGTAAAGTTCACCTCTCTGCAAGTTTTTTAGAGTGTGAATTATAACCCCCTGACTTCCTTGTCTCGCACCTAAAATCACTTCATACAAATTCCGTCACACTGGGAGAGTCGTATGCAAGAGGAGAGAAACAGATGAATAAAAGCGGATGTGGAGTGTTTGCGGAGGGGGGGGGCTTGGGAAGGTGCGGACAGTGTGGCGGAAGCGCCTGTACCATGGGCAGAAGTTCTGATACAGGTGTTTCATTTCTTCAATTATCGCGATCGAGATAAGAGATAACAGGTTCTTGATCATGGCATGAGGTGTGAAAAAGCAGATGTTGCTGGATACTCTCCAGCCGAGAATCCTATCTATGTGCCTGTGCGTGTGTTTTGTACGTGGTGGGAAGCGAAGACGATTCGCCAGACTCTCTAATAATATTTCCCAACTGTGTATGTAACGTAAACTAACTAATAAGCAGCAAGAATTGTTCATGAATAGCAACATAAGTCGAGACTCTCGACTGTGATAGCTCATCAAAGGTCAGGGTGATCCAGGCATGACTATGAGCGCGAAACCGTATAGGGTTTCAACTAAACATGGGATCATCCTGTGCTTGGGTATTGCCATCTGTTTCCTCATCTTCAAGTATTACACGAGTCAGACGAAGTTGGTAGACGGGGATAAGCACTTCAAAACTCGGTATCTCTCCTTCCAGGACCGATTGCCATCATTATTAGGTGCGAATCCCGAACAGACCCGCAAATAAACGAATATATATCAAAACATTTTTTTGAGATTCATGCGCCAGGAAATCGTTTGGGTGGTTCCCAGAGGAGTCCTTTATCCAGTTGTGATAAGGAGAAGCTGTAAAGAAAGACAGGAGCTCCTAGGAAATTAGTATGGATCTTAATCTTAATTATTCCCCCTTTTAACGGTTGAAGACGGTGAGATGATGAGACCCTTACCGCATCACATCGGTTGGGCCAAAAATGCAGGAACATTCTCAACAATACACTACACTTCGCTCACTACATGTATTTTAATGTGGTTTGTGGCAGTGCAAAGAGGAGTAAATATGTTTTAAAATGGCATACTTACATTTCAAATATCTTCAACAGTTCCAGAAATTGGGAGGCGCACATGGACAGCAAACAAAAAACTGCGTTGCTGCGCAATCAGACGCGGAGGGCATGTGACCCTCCGCCGCTGCCTGTCCATCCTTGTCTCGCCCTGTGGCTAATTCGTTTTTGCCTGGTGCTTACACGAGGACGCGAATTTATAAGACCTTTGAAAATGCTTGAAATGCGAGTACACCGTTTTATAACCAATTCATCCTTCTTTCAAATGCCGCAATCCGTATCAAAATATAAGCTGCGAGTGCGGTAGAAACTGGTTTCTTTGGCAAGCTGTGTAGGCTTAGATGCTACAAGGTCATCTGACTTCCCAAGTATTTTGCAACTTTTTATCATGATCAATTTTTAACCCAGAGTTTATTAAATGAAGATCAATTTCCGCTCAAATTCTCCCAGCAGAGGATCCATACGTATATGAGTATCTTTCGCAACATGTACACCAAGAAAACTAAGGAATATGGCATGAGACTCCATTTCCCATCCAAATTCACAGGAATTCATGCTAATACTGGCGTGACTCGAGGATACTTTTCGTCCCTAGCTGTGTCAGAAATTTGATAACCTCATGACCATGACTAAGTTACCGCAAGTATATTATTTAACATAGTGACGAGGAAATGGGACGACGAAGAGCTGTACCTGAGGGTCTGGGAGAAAGGAGAACGGATTTCGGGGAATGACCCCCGCCTGCTGCAATACATCAGGGACCAGGTTCTCATTCCACCTCTTTCCAGGGATGTGCCCTACAAGCTCGCAGACCCGAGGAAACAGCACTTCTCGCAGTCTCAGGAGCAGATAATTTTCCTGAATGAATCCTTTGGCGACTCTGTGAGTCATCTTTAATGAGACAACTTACAACCCAGTACAATTTCTAATGGACCATGACCTCTCATAGAAAGGAGGATTCTTCATCGAAGCAGGAGCGTACGATGGTGAAACTTTTTCCAATACACTTTGGCTCGAAAGGGAGAGAAATTGGACCGGTCTTCTTATCGAACCCGATTCTGCAAATTTCGACACTTTGATGGGGAAGCAGAGGAAGTCATGGTTGGCTCATTCTTGTCTAAGTCCTGTCCCTTATCCTCAAATGGTCAGTCTTGAAAAAATACCAATCTTGCTCCTAATACTTTTCATTTATTTCTTCATTCTTTGCTCATCAAGATGACTTTATTTGGAGGGAAAGCAGTTGGAGAGATGATACCTGGAAAACAGGGAAACAATGAGGAACGGAATCTCGTTTGTTTCCCGTTAGAGTCACTCCTCGTGGCCATCGGCCAACATAATGTAGACTTCTTCAGTTTGGACATTGAGGGACTGGATTACGATGTCCTCAGCAACATTCCTTGGGACATACTAAATATCCAAGTATGAAACCTCACCCTCCTTTTTACTCTCACCAGACATCCATAAGAATTCCTCTCGTAGAGTATAATAAGTATAGACCATTATTTTTCCGTCCTCTTCACGTAACTGTTCAATCTTTCTCTCTCCCTTTTTATCCTGCCAAAGCTCCTGATGGTGGAAACCAACAAAGGAACAAGAGAGGAGATCCTTGATTTCATGGCTGATAAGAAATATCGACACGTGAAGAAGATATACGTCGATGACATTTTCGAGAAATCCTATCAGTAGTAAAGTATTAGAAATCATGAGTTGAACCATGAAAACGAGATGAATAAGGATTGTGTTCAAGAACTACGAGAATAATCAAGTTCTATTCTTCAAGAGAAGTGTTACAATAAATAAATATAACCTTGGGAATAGGAACGGGAGCACAACTCTCCTTACTCAGGCCTTTGGCTGACACGACCGATGTCCCTAGCGGGAAACATAAAAGGAACTGACCTCTTTGGAAGGGAGAGTGAAGCATATCCCCCCCCCTCCCCCATTTTCACTCACTTGTGGAAAGTACGTGGCCACTTGTGGAAAGTACTGCTCGCGGGAGGGAGTCGTTATCTTCAAGAAACCACTTTATCTCACCTGCAACAGACAAATATTTTTTCCGTCCATTGCGCAAACATATTCTACTCTGTCCTAGTGAAGAGATATGAGACATGTGTTGCATGAGTGGGAAGTTTTCGACAGCCCACAAGTGACAACCACCACAATAACAACGCTTTTTTGGAACCGATTTATACATCCCAACGACGTGTGGCAGTGCGAGTGCATTATTCATAGTGAGATATTCTCTCTGGTGGAGGAATTCAACCATCTGCATAAATAAGAGTACTTGCCTTTGTTACTTGCTAGAGATCTTCTAAGCACTCACCTACTCAGGTAATTGATATGCAAAGGTTCCTCACTGTAGCGTGGATCATGAACCACCACAAATCCCTTCCCTATATGATCTCACCCAAGTAACACATAAACGTTCAAGTGGGGTTCAACCTCTGTTCAATGAGGTTTTTAGACGTTCAATGTTCAGGGATGAACAGCTTTTGAACAATTAACAAATGTCCTATGCTCAAATGCATCACTAATGCTTTACGTTTTTCAAGGACGTTCGTTGAAAGTTTTCCTTGAGGCATTTTCCTTGAACATGTCTGTGCTATCCATATGACAGCGGCTACAACCAAAGGTTCACACAACTGGCCCCAATTGACGCCAAAGTGGCCGCTATAGCAAGTTGGTTACTGATGAGGCTGGAATTAGGTATTAGTCCCTAGCTACTTTCCCTGCGGTGCCCGATCTTTCCCGAAAGACACCACAGGGGAATACATTTGAATTCTTCAACAAATCAGTCTTGCGAAGTTAATCCAATCCAAGGTGTTTCTGGAAAACTCTGGCTTGGAGGATGGAGGAAGAATAGCTCTGTTTTTAAGATGACTTTATGAGGAATATATGTACGGGACGAATGGGAACCCTTTCCAATGTGTGTCCTATTCCTGCTGTGGAGATAGATGAAGTTATGAAGTATTTTCCAACCTCTAACTCTTCATCTACGACCATCTCAGGCACAGCGGAGGAACTGCTCATTAAGGGTTAAGGGAGGGAGGTTAAGGGTTGTGCTAGTCTGACCTACATAACCCATTCCGCACGTTCCTCAATTTACAAAATGGAAGAGTAGATTTAACATTGGATGTATCTGACACATACTTGCAGGTACAGCATCTTTTGGAACCGCAATTCTTTGTAGCCTAGTAAATATTAATCATTGGGTGGCTAGCCCAGTGATTAAGGAATCCCTAAACGAAGCAGAGTCATAGTCCCTTATGATCCACCTGATAGTAGGAGATTAGAAAGAAAATGGTAAGGAAGCACTCGTGCTGAACTGAAGATAATCCACAAGAATGGCTGTCCATCTTAGGTTGGAAAGGATGAGAAACGACAACCTCTGGAGGCGAGAATCGACACAACCAGAAAGTCGGCGAGGATTGTATATGAAAAGAATATCCCTTCGAGATAACTTAATCAGGACAACCCAGGTGCTGGGAGCGATAGCCGACAACCACAGACACCTAGGCTTATTATATTATTGAGAGAGTCATGCCGATCAAGTTAAACCTATAGCCAGCACGAGTCCGAGCTATTGATAGGAAATGAGAAGAGAATACTAAAACATTTTGAGAGGAAAGGTATTTTTGTACTCTCTGAATCAATTTTTATTCCATATTCAGAACAGGCATTAAACACTTTCTTTCTTGCTTTCTCAAAACTTATGGTTTGCTCTTGAAAGGTAGGGCTGTTCAAAATTTCATCTTTCAGTATTTGGCCATAAAAACGTTGGCAAATAAAGGCAAAATTATTGTTGGCCTTATCAACAGTAACGATCACAAATTTCTTGTGCAGTTCCTGTATGAGATCTTTGAATTTTCTGTCGGAAATATCTAAAGACCCTTTGGGGTACTTGACCTGAAAACTTTCAATTTTATCTTTAAAGGCTTGAAACACTTTTATCTTCCATGGATGAAAAAAGGCGTATGGAACCTATGACGCCTTTTTTTTGTATTCTCTTCTCATTTTCTATCAATAGCTCGGACTCGTGCTGGCTATAGGTTTAGCTTGATCGGCATGACTCTCTCAATTATATATATATATATATATATATATATATATAAACCAGGAATCATGTACAAAAATTTCCAAGTTAGTGCATCTCTCTCCACTGAAGGAGATGAATCCTCTCCCATTCGTTCATTCCTTAAAATTCTGCCTCATAGAGAGCAGATCATTTTGTCGTAGGTCTTGGCAGTAAGATATTGTGTTTTGGTGGTTCATGATGAGGGTCTTTTGGTGTTTCCTTTTTCCATCCTTCCCTTTTCATTTCCCCTTTTTGATCACATAGTTCCATCGTTCGCTCTTCTTCGTCGGACCGGGATCCACCATCACTGATTTCCTTTCCTATAACTTCTGCGATTCGGTCGTCGGATGTTGTGGGGACTGGGTTTTTGGCATATCAAGTTTCGATCTTCTGTCTGGTAATTGATCTTCAGTCTGGTAATTGCAAGTACAGTACTGGCTATGTATTGGATGCAGTTACTTAGTGTGGAAAGCTTATTCATGAAAATGCGGCAATAAATGTTTCTTCTCTCTGTCTAACGTCACGGTTCCTTAGATGTTTCATTGAAACGCTTTTTGTCTTAATAGAATTGAAAGAAGATGAATTTCCATTAGAAACCCTCCCCCTGCCACTTCTCCTCAGCCCCCTCTCACTGGTTCTTGAGCCCAATATTCCTTGAGTGTTTTGAAAAACATCTAGACCACTTAACCGTTGAAGCATGGGTACTTGAAGAGTCAAGGTCCGTCTTGAGGTCATGTGGGCTACGCAGCATATGCTAAACGAAAACGTTGTAGGTGCACCTCATAACTCCTCGTATCTCTTGCTTCAACTTCAGGGAGATGCAAATATGAGAGGAGACGAAGTGAGTGTTGCCACCTATTCTTGATTGAAGGGTAATTCTGGATGGCCTGGCAATCCAGGGTAGCGCTTGAGGGAAGGCTCTTGCCCCGCCCTCATGTATGTGGGGATTGAAGTCACCTCAGTCAACCTTGATGACGAGGTGCATACTTTCCCACTGAAAAGGGAATTTTGATAGGGCAATCCAAAGAAATATGGATACATTTTCAAGGTCAGTACTGTAATGTAGTCTTATGTGGATGAAAAGTAACGTTAAGACATGGTTTCGTTGGCAAATATGCTTCTTGATAATTAAGGAGCGAATACGGCGTCTACTAATAGCTTACCAGAATAAACATATTTTAAATTTATAGACGATGATGACTGACTGAGTGACTGACTAGTGACTGCCTTACGCTAATTCTAACCATGTTCTAGAGAAGCAGGAAATCTTAAACTTGGTACTCAGGCACCAAAAAATCCCTGGGGGGATTATTTTTGTGGAGTAACGTTTTCAAAGTATTTTTTTTTGTCCACTGAGTTGTACAGAGATAGAAATGTGAAAGTTGGCACAGTTTGAGGGAAACGTTTTTCTTAAATATATATTTTGACGGATGAGGATGTCATTCAGAGAGTCAACTGGATGTCCTGGGTTCAGTGGTGTATTAGTGGCATATTTGACCGGTAATCAGGAGGTCTGTGATCAATTTCCTGCCATTCCTTGGCTTTCCTTGGTTTTTTTTTGCCTTTCATGTCCACTTATTCCCCCTCCATAACATTATTTTTGCTTTAGTAAAACGAAGAGACATGGAAAGCTGAAATGTGGCATGAAGGTGCCTATCGAGACGATGAGTTCAGGAAAAATGCGAAATATTATATCCATGCCCTGGGGGATATTTTTTTGTGCTGACGTTTTCAAGTATTTTTTTTTGTCCTTGCGTATCGAGTTAGTGTGGAAAGATGAAACTTTATACATAACTACCGATTGGAATGCTGCATAAAACTTCAGACTTGGGAAGTAAATGCCCTTGGGGCACAAATTTCAAAGGGAGATGTAAACTATTTTTTTGCATCAATTAACCGATGAACATGGAAAGCTGAAAATTTGCATGAATGTGGTTACTGAGACAAGGAGTTAAAAAAAAAATTTCAGTCGCGATACATCCCCTGGGGGAATGTTTTTGAGGTGCAATGTTTTGAGAAAAAAATTGCCGTGGCGAATTAGGCAGAAATTGAAATGTGAAAATTGGCGCACGTATAAGAGACATGATATTGCTGAGCTGAGGGAGTATTCAGCTTTAATGGTGCTGAATTTGTAGTAATTTTCATATTTTTGCCGCTTTGAAAATAAATAAATGAATGAATCATTAGCCTGGATAATGGAGCCCCGAAGACACGACCATAGCGAGTTTGTGAAGAGTTCACTGAAGAATGCCCCTTCGTCCGGATGGCCTTAGTTTTCATAATTGGAGTGGCTCCAACAGACACACACAATACTAGCTTCTCAACGCTCGTGGCGAATGAAATTCAGCAGTATCTCTCTTGCTCATCTGACGACATTCGTCCTCAATATTTTACTAATATCTGTTGACGCATGCCAGACGGACGAACTAGCTGTCGTACTTGTAAACAAGTGATTTCAGTCTAAGTCCGTCTTTTAAACGGAAAGATAATTTAACATTCAGTAATTTATTTGCAGGTCGAAACAAACCTTGGTCTTATCTGCTGACATTCACTGCTTGAGAGTAGCCCTCTGCACATTCACTCTCTTATTTTTATGGAAGAAGTCTTAAAT